TTGACATGTCATGGGGTTGTTAACCAATGTCATAAAACAATACGTGTACTGACTGTTTAATGAGAAACTATTTGTTCTGTAAACCTTCACCTAAAGTGCAATAAAAGCAAACAAATAAAAAGGAAAGTTAAACACATACAGCACAAGTTTATAAAGCACCAACAGCGCCACCCACCAATGCAATTCCGAGGGCCATTTAAGTGATGACAAAGATCTCACTAGAGCCTTTTCATAGTAATGCTCACATTTTTTATCTTTTTTTTTTGTTCGTCTCACACACTTTGAAAAAACAGCAAAATACATTTTTCCCTGAATATATTTTCTCTCTTTGTTCTAAAATCTTCTCCTGGAAACCTTACCATCCTATTTTAAAATCACAACATTAATTTCTGTAGAGTCTTCTCAGGCACCGTTGTCCTTGCCAAGATAGACAAAGGAACATATGTTTGCTGGGTAGGATGGGGGAAGAGAGAGGAACCATTTACTGCTCTAGAGAGTCCTGATGAAGCTTCTCTTCCCCTTTCTTTCTCTTCCCTGGGCTACATATGTAAGGCTATCTCCATCTCTCAGTGTACCTCCATCCGTCTAAGAAAAACAATGACTACCTAGCAATCCTCTTCTATCAAAAGTACTTAGGCCCTATATTTAAAAATTGAAAAAAAACAGACTCATCAACTCAGTTATTCACAAACCATTTATCTCTATTTTACTCAGAAACACAATGTAAAAATTTCCCCTTTTCCTCCAAAGGTATAATTTCCTCTTTCCTCAAAACTCAAAGATAGGTACCACCTTTGTAATATTTGATACTCTAGCTGGTATGCTGGTAATGAATGTACTTGCTTTTGCCCACATTCTCCAGGTTTTTTCCCTATTTTTCTGGCTACACATTCTTAGTCTCCTTCTTGGGCTCCTCTTCCTCCAGGTCCCCGTTTAAATCTTTGTATTCGTTAGGGTTCTGTCTCATTAGCCATTCTCCTTTGTTAATATCCATTCTCACAGCTTACTCCCCAAACCTTGCCCTGAACACAGATCATTCTTTTGAACTCCAGACTAACCGCCTAATGAACATCTCTGTTGGGATGAACTTCTGGCCCTCACACTTAACATGTCCCTAACCGAACTCCTCCTTCACTAAACTTCATGTCCCCTGACCAAAGGAATGGCACCACCATTTTCCATTTGCTTAAGCCAGATACTGAGAGTCTTCCTAACTCTCCAAATCCAATTATTTATCAAGCTCTGTAGACAGCACCTCAATAATTCTCAAATACACTCACCTCCTGCCAGCCTCGCTACGACTACCCTGGTTCAGATATCAGTATTTTTCAAACTCTTAAAATTGCCATCTACAGTGTGAAATTATTTACATTATGATCCAATATCCATACATATATAACTGAAATAAATTTAATGAGTAATCCTACCCTTACGATGTGTGACACGTTGTGGTATTTCCTATCCATTCCATCACATCAGATTCACTGAATGGAGTTCACATTCTCTAACCTGCAGTTTGGAAACTACTGGTCTTCATTACTTCAGTGGCTCTTTGCCTACCTGGCTTCCTTTCCCCAACCACTGTGCAGTCAGAATTTTCTTTCAAACACAGATCTGGTTACATCACGGCCTTGCTTAAAATAAAAGCTTCCAATGATTTCCCCAATGCCCTCAGGATAAAGTCTTCATTTTTTCCTGATTTGGCCTTCAGTTACCACTGTGGCCTAATCTGTTTCTCTTTCCCTGGGAATGATCTATTCCAATCATACAGATCTTGCTATCCCTAACTCTTGCTTCTGGGCTTTTGCATATGCCTTTCTTTCTTCCTAGGAGGCCCTGTCCTTCCTCTCCTCTGTACTTGGGTAACTCCTTCTTCTCCTCAGGATATCAGCCAGGTTTACTTCTTCAAGAAGATTTTCCTGCCCTCCCCAACGGTGAGTTAGGTATTCTCCAACACATTCTTGTATCCTTCGCTTATTAATACTGTGGAACATTTATGTTTACTCATTTGTCTCCTGCATCAGTCTGTAAACTCCTTCAAGACAGGTATTGTCTTTAATTGTCATAGCCAAACACTTGGCACCGGACAAGCAGTGAGCTCTCAATAAATACTCGAGGGTAGGGACTCTGACTCAATCATGCATCTTTTGCAGCAAACAGTACAGCACCTTGCACAAAGTAGGCATTTAATGCATAACTATGAAACAGAATGGATTAAAGTCAGTATTTAGAAACATTGGCAAAAGAAGAAATAATATGAAATCTAAATTCCAATATTTTTGCCACATATTAAATTTGACAGAAGAGGGCAAAGAAGCTATATTATAGTTTTGTAATTTATGTTCATTCATTCTCTAAATAAATATCAAATATTAATTTAACAATGGTAAACAGTATATATAGACTCTGGGTTAAAATTCTGGATCTATCACTTACTAGTTGCGGACCATTGGCAAGTTTCTTAACTGCTCTCTGCCTCAGTTTCCTCATCTGTAAATGGGGACTTTGGGAGAAGGGTGAGTAAATTAAGTATGATGTGTAAACCACATAGCCCATCTGAAACCTAGCACACACTATGTGTTAATAAATGCCAGCTATCATGATCAGGGAGACCTGGTGGTACAGTGGCTAAGAGCTCAGCTGCTAACCAAAAGGTCGGCAGTTCGAATCCACCAGATGCTCCCTGGAAACCCCATGGGGCAGTTCTACCAAAATCGACTAGATGGCAACCGGTTGGAAGTATACTGTATCTTAGATCCTATGCGCAAAAGTAAAGGTTATCTTCCTACTTAAAAACTCCTGTGGTCAAGTCGATTCCGACTCATACTGACCCTGTAGGACAGAGAAGAACTGCCCCATTGGGGTTTCCAAGGCTTTAAATCTTTATGGAAGCAGACTGCCACATCCTTCTCCTGTGGAGTGGCTGGTGGGTTAGAATCACTGACCTTCCGGTTAGCAACTGAGCCCTGTAACCACTGTGCCACCAGGGCTCCTTCCCAGATAAACAGATGCCATTTATTTGTTGCTTGTTAACCGTATTAAAGTGTAAGGCTAAAGAAGCCCAGAACAAAAACATTCTATCCCTGGCCAAGTTAGAAAATAAAAATCTAATTGTATACAAGTTTCTCAGTTGGCAGAGAAATTAACTTGAATTCCTTTTGATAAACTGAAAGTGTAAATAGTCAAAGCAAAAACATGTAGAACTATTATTTTATTAGAAAGCATGGTTCTCAATATATCAGGAATTCTAATTTGACTAGTACAAAAGCAAATACATATGCTTTAAATAACATATTTATGGAATTTTAGTTTTTTAATACGAGCAATTTTAAAACATACATATTCAATGAAATCCTAGCAGGCAGTACTAGTTAAAATGACCTGGCAATAATCTTAAGAATGGAATGCATGCCTGGAATGTAGTTAAAAAAAAAATTAAGTTAAAATCTAATCAATTTTATTAGACCCTGTCTACAGAAGAACTGAGAGAAGAGAAGGTAAATCATCGACCTGGAATGGAAGCTCAAAGAATCAGAAATTGTAGTGTTTATCTAGCACTCTAAGGAGGTGTCACCAGCAGTGAAGGCTGGGTTGTAGAAGAAAGAAGCAGAAAAAAGGGGCTCAGGGGAGAGAGGAGGAGAAGGAAAAGAGTGGGTCAGAGAAAGAGAGGAGAGTAGAAAGGGGAGAGAGAGAAAGAGTCAAATATCAGCTGAAGGGGTACTCTACTGGGACAGAGATGACGCACTGGGCCTCTTCTGCCTCTGCTCTGATTCCTAGTGTACCAAGTAACCTCCAGATCTAAACAGTTTGTGAAATGGTCTTATTTCACCTTTGATAAAGTGCACGGGCATTCTGACTTTGTTCTCTTTCAGGATTGTCTTAGCTATTTGTGGCCTTTGGCATTTCCATATACATTTTAAAATCAGCTTTCTAATTTTGAATCGTCTCATTGGAATTGTACTGGATCTGCAGATCAGTGATAAAGTACGTGAGCTCTCCAGGCAATAAAAGATATTGTGAGTAAACAGATGCCAAATGGATGCATTATAATATAGAAAAACTCCTGTGATTTTGTTATTGTCTATCACTTCTCCCATGACTAAACACTCAAAATGCCCTAAGACAAAGTCAAATATTTAGAGCACCACACCTTAGACACATTGAATTTTAAGTTATATACCAAAATTAATATTTTCTCCAAAATTTACCATTTTGATTTATTAAATTTAAGCTGCTCGCATACTGAGCTCCCAAAATCTGCCCTCTGTGAAATCACATGTCCTTTATAATGTTAAAAGATGAAGCTCTTACTCTTTCTTAAGGTCTTCTGAATTGTCTTTAATGACCACTTATAGTGTACATTCTTGATGCTAATAAAGGATGATAAGCAATCAACTAATGTCCTTCAGTGTATATTTTTGCCTCTTTTTTATAAGATTTCTTCTCAGACTCTAGAAAACTATCTGCTATTAGGATGTACTGAATAAAGTTAATTTTTATGGGAGTTGTTTTTACTGTACAGAATAGAAATATAATACTAAATACAAACATATTATAAAACTAATACAATTAACCAATACGATTTGAAAATTATGATACAAAAAAAAAAAAGATTACCTATTGATGCAAAGAAAATGATAGCCAGAAAATCACGAATAGGTTCAATATAAGACATAATCTCTTCAGTAACCATGTGGCCTTGAGAAGAGATCAGTGCTCCAGCCAAGAAACAGCCCAGCTCCATGGAAACATCTAACAGCTCTGTGATCTGAGAAAAAGTGGAAGGATTACACTTTATACCATAAATACATAAAACCAAAAAAACCCATTGCTGTCTAGTTGATTCCAACTCATAGAGACCCTACAGGACAGAGTGGAACTGCCCCATAGGGTTTCCAAGGAGCAGCTGGTGGATTCGAACTGCCAACTTTTTGGTTAAGCAGCCAAGCTCTTAACCACTGTACCAGCAGGGCTATCTTTTTTATCAACATCTTCAATTTTAAGTTAAGATTTACATCCACAGACATCTTTTTAGGTCTAGCAAAACTATCACAATAAAAACAATGCAAAAAATCTAGAAAATAAAAAAAATTGATAAAATGTTATGCAAACTATGAAGTCCCTAATAGAGGCTTCTGTTGGATGATCTGAGAGATGACAAGTGGCAGCTAACAGTAGTTGAAGTAACCATACAGGAAAGAAAAAAATAATAATTTTACATATTTGAAATAATCGTTCATGTAGATTACTATGAGATTTCTGAATGAGAATATTTCCTAAAATTTTAAATGTCGGTAATATATACTTTTTACCCTTGAATCAATGAACAGCCTGATTGTGGCATTAAAAAATGTAGAAGAAACCATTCCCATCACCAACCTCAAACCACTTAAAGAAAGTAGACATGGGTTTTAGATGATGTGAAACCAGAGAGAAGCATCAATAAATCTAGAAATTACTAACTTTAATAACTTAACTATGTCAACTAGATTAGACAGAATGAATAGGCACAATTTATTAGGGTTTTAACTACGATTAATGACTTGACTCATAGCAATCCTACAGGACAGGGCAGAACTGACCCATAGGGTTTCCAAGGAACAGCTGGTGGATTTCGAACTGCTGACCTTTTGGTTAGCAGCCGAACGCTTAACCACTGCGCCACCAGGGCTCCAGGGTTTAAACTATAGTTTGTTAAATGCAAGGCTTAAGACAGACTTCTTGATGGGACACTACCGATGCAAAACAACTTGAAAGAAGTAGGTTTTTTTTATTTCGAGAAAATAAAACTATAGAAGATAGCAACAACAGACAGAGATAAAGTGAACTTTTAAAAAGATACCATTTATAACAGCACCAAAAAAAATCAAACACCTAGGAACAAATTTAACAAAAGAAGTGCACAATCTCTACACTAAATGCTATAAAACACTGCTGAGAAATATTAAAGAAGACCTAAATAAACAGAATGATACGTCACATTCACGGATTTGAAAGCTCAGTATCACCAAGATGTCAATTCTCCCTCAGCTGATCTACAGATTCCTTGAAACTTCAATAAACTTTTTTGTGTATGAAAATTGACAAACTGAACCTAGAAATTTATATGGAAATGGGAAAGACCATGAATGGCCAAGACAATCCTGGCAGAGAAGAACAACATTGGGCACTTATACTACCAGATGTCAAGCTATGGTGTAGTACAAGAATCAGTAAATAGACCAAGGAAACAAAATGGAGAGTTCAGAAACAAACATGCACATATGTGGCTACTTGATTTTTGATAAGGTGACATTTTTGATAAGTTACAGTGGGGTAAAGAGGTTTTTTCAACAAATCATGCCAGAAAATGCATACAAAAATATATCTTTGTTCACCTCATATTATACACTAAAATCATTTCCAGATGGATTGTAAATCTAAATAAGAAAAGTAAAACAATCAAGTTCCTAGACGATAACACACAACATCTTCATGACCCAGAAGTAGTCAAAGATCTTTTAAATAGAATATAAAAAGTGCTGACCAAAAGGAAAACAATTGATAACTGGACTACACTAATATTAAGAACTTCTGTTCATCTAAAATGCCATTGAGAAGACTGAAAAGGCAAATCATAAACTGGAAGATATTAGCAAAAATATATCTGAAAAGGAGTGAATTACTAATGCATGCTACATGGATGAACCTTGAAAACATGCTAACTGAAAGAAATCAGACACAAAAAAAGACCACGTTGTATGATTCCATTTATATGAAATGTCCAGAAAAGGCAAATCCACGGAGACAGAATGTAGATTTGGAGTTATTAGTGGTTGGGTCGGGAGAAGAAACTGGAAGATATGGAGTTTCATTTGGTGTTGTTAGGTGCCATTGAGTCGGTTCTGACTCATAGCAACCCCACGTATTCTAGCTACCAGTCCTTTGTTGGATATGTAGTTTGTGAATATTTTCTCCAGCTCTGTAGCTTTTCTTTTCATCCTGTTTACAAGGGCTTTCACAGATTAAAAGTTTTTAATTTTGATGAAATTCAATGTATCAGTTTTTCTTCTTAGGATCGTGCTTTTGGTGTGAAGTCTAAGAACCCTTTACTTAGTCCTTGATCCCAAAGATTCTCTCTTAAGTTTTTTCTAAAAGTTTTATGGTTTTACATTTTAGTCTGTGATCCATTTTAATTTTTATATAAGTTGTAAGACACAGATCCAGGTTCCTTTTTTTTTTAAATATATCTGTGGATGGCCAACTGCTTCAGCACCATTTGTTGAAAAGGCTAGTCTTTCTCCACTGAACTGTTTTTGCACCTTTGCAAAAAATCAGTTGGGCATATTTATGCAGGTAAGTCTATTTCTGGGTTCTCTGTTCCATTGATAAATGTATCTATTTCTCCAAAAATACCACACAGTCATGATTACAGTATTGACATCTTTACTATTTTGAGTCTTTCAATCCATAAATGTTATGTTTTCTCATATATTTACGTCTTCTTTCTTTCATCAGCATTGTATAGTTCTCAGCATAAAAGTCCTGTGCATGTTTTACAAAATTTACACCTAAGTTTTTTAGTTTTGTTTTTTTAAGTAACTGTATATGGACATCATGTCTGGAAAAGTAGCAGGTCAGTGAAAATGAGGGAAATCCTCAATAAGACGGATCGACACAATAGCTGCAACAATGGTCTCAAACATGCTAACAATCCTGAGGATGGTGCAGTCCATTTTATTGATTCTTTTCAAAGAACCAGCTCTCTGTTTGATTTTCTCTATTATTTCTATGTTTTTTATTTCACTGATTCTGCTCTTATTATTTCCTTCCTTCTGGTTGCTGTGGGTTTATTTTGTTCTTTTTTATCTCCTAGGCTCTTAAGGAGCTCAGATTATTGATTTGAGGCTTTTCCTTCTTCCTAAAGTATGCACTTAGTGCCATAAAATGTCCTCTCACATTGATGTAGCATTTGTCTCACGACTTTTGATATATAGTATTTTCATTTTCTTTTAGTTCAATTTTTTAAAAATTTCCCTTTAGACTTCCTGGATTATTTAGACATGTATTGTTTAGTTTCCCAATGTTTGGAGATTTTCCTGTTATCTGTTACTGATTTCTAGTTTAATTCCACTGTAGTCAGAGAATACACTTTGTATGATTTCAATTCTTTCAATACTGTTGAGGTTTGTTTAATGGCCCATGATATGGTTTACAGTAAATGTGTCAAGGTCACTTGAAAAAAAAAACATGTATTCTGCTGTTGTTTGGTCTGAATGTTCTATAAATGTCTATTTGATCTTGTTGGTTGATGATGTTATTGAGTTCTTCTATATCCTTACTGATTTTCTGCCTAGTTGTTCTATTAACTGTTGAGGAAGGGGTGCTTAAGTCTCTAATTAAAGCTGTGGATTTATCTATTCTCCTTCTGGTTCTATCAGTTTTTGCTTCATATATTTTGCAGCTCTGTTTTTTGGTGCATACACACTTACAAATTCTATGACTTCTTGATAGTCTGACCATTTTGTTGTTATATAATACCCTTTTCTGTCTCTGGAAATTTTCTCTGTAACAATGTCTACTTTATCTGATGTTAACATAAATACATTTCCTTTCATTTGATTAATGTCTGCAAGATAAATTGTTTTTCATCCTTTTACTTTCAACCTGCCTACATCATCATATTTAAAGTGAGTTTCTTATACATATTATATAGTTGGATCATCTGTGTATTTTTTATCATGGTAAAATATATGTAGCATAAAAATTTGCCATTTTAACCATTTCTAGGTGTACAATTCAGTGACATTAATTACTTTCACAATGTTGTTTATCCATCAAACTATGGATCATGTTTTTTAATCCCATATGCCAATTTCTATCTCTTAATTGGTATATTTGGAAATTTACATTTAATGTAATTATTGATATGTTAGGGCTTAAGTTTGATATTTTATTTTTTGTTCTCTGTTTTCTTTTTCCTATGGGTTACCTGAACATTTTCTAGAGTTCCATTTTGATTTATCTATAGTGCTTGAGTATATTTCTTTGTACAGCTTTATTGGTTGCTGTAGGCACTACATTAAATATATGTAGTTTAGAATAGTCTACTGGTGCCATCATTTTAGCAGTTCAAGAGAAGTACAGAAACCTTTTCTTCCTTTATGTCCCTCTACACTCTTCTGTTTATAATATAATTGTCTTAAATATTTTCTCTACATAATTTTAGAACCATATCAGGTAGTGGCATAATTTCTTGCTTCAACTGTCAAACATAATTTAGAAAACTCAAGTAGAGCAGAAACCTTAATGTATTTTTCCATATTTTTGTTTGTCATGTTCCTTCTTCCATCCTGATATTCAAAGTTCTTTCTTTTATTGCTTTTGTTCTGTTTAGACAAATTCTTAGTTTTCCTTCATCAGAGAATGTCCTGACTTCTTGTTTATTCGTTAAGTATATGTTTATTGGGTTTAGAAATTCTGGATTGACAGTTCTTTTCTTTCAGCACTTAAAAAATATTCTGCCCCTCCTTTCTGGTATTGATTATTTTTGATGATAAATCTGCTGTCATTAGTATTGTTTTTCCCCTTAGGAAGGTGTCAGGGTTTTTTTTCTTCCTTTTTTTTAAACACATTTTGAATATTTTTTCTTTAGTTTCCAGAAGTTTAATTATGATGCATCTCGGTATGTACATTTTTTGATTTATCCTGTTTGGTGTTCACTTAGCTTTCTAAATCCGTAGATACATGTCTCTTGTCAATTTTAGGAAGTTTTCAGCCATTATTTCT